TTAATATAAACTAAACCTAATGTATGACCCTAGTATAATGGCATGGGAAGTCAAAATAAATTTCTCAAAGGTAACCAGATTACATCCAATGGATTTGCTTACACCTTAGGTTATGACTTCTCTCGATAGCACAAGATTCATTGATCAAATTTAATCATAAGGGTAGCATGTACTAGTATGTTCATCAACCACATGTGCTTTAACCAACATAAAATCAATAAAATGAGGGCCTAAATCAACCACATGTGGGATATGGAGATTGCATGGGTGGGTGAGAGATAGATGTGTCTAATTCTGAGATTTATGCCCTCAAAAGGCTAGACAAGTCGTGCCTTAGATAACTTAGGCATAACGAGGGCTCATGTGAATACATATGGAGCAATAAAGAAGCCATTTTACTCATTAATTTCTCCTCGAAATCTCAGAAAAATTTCAAGAAATGAATACTAAAGAGAATGAATCAAAACTATCATAGAATGTCTATGTCATACTCTATACATGAAGTAGAAAAATGAAATGAGGCTAACTAGACCAAAAGAAGGAAGTTACCTTGTTGTTAATGTTAATTGACGGCAAGAAGATGAGCCTTAATAGTGAGAATAGGATCCACTCCAAATTTCATACAAGTGGCTTCAACTTGTTAGGAGCTCGCCTTAATTGCGCACTGAGTGATATAAGTCACAATGAGAATGATCTTGAATAATGTACTTAATGGATTTTTGTGAACTGGGATCCGAAAGTATAAATTCCCTATGTCATGAGGCAAGTCTAGAAGGCCTTACCCAAATCCAAGAGATTTGAAGGTCTCCTTAAGGATCGGTGTGAGAACACCTCATGAATGTGTAAGCTAGGGCATAAGAGATAGGATTAGAAAATCCAATTTGACTTAGTAAACGTTTGATGAGTAGTCATGTGTGAGTAGACTAAGCATTGAGACGACATAAGCCTAAATCCTTGATAAATTTAGTTTATTAACAGCATATACACAAGACAATGGCAAATGGGAATATATTCTAATGAAGTAGATCTGTTTGACCAAAACTATGCATATGTACAAAAAGAGGATCCCTTTTTTGAGTAATTCAAAGAGAGGACCCCTTGTATCCAAAAGAGTGCATGTCCTCGGGGGGTATACTTATAATCCACTCAACATCAAAAAACGAAGCCATCCATTAGGTCAGCTTTAATAAACCAAGTATATGCCCCTACTTGAGACTGTAGGACATGAGTTTGTTGAGTTAACTCAAGAAAATGGCTTAGGGTTCTGAAGCTATCTAAATGGAGTACCATACAATCCAGTTCTACCTTCTTAAGGATCCTAATTTCCATATCAAGAAAAATTTTGGATTCAAAATTTATTTATTTTGATTGAGAAAAAAGAAAAATAATTTATAGTTATTTTTTATAATTTTGAAAAAAAATTTTGAGTAAAAATTAGCTCAAAAAGTTTGTAAGGGCATAATTCTATCTAAGGACATCTAGACATATAAGGTGTGTGGCACACAAATGGCCAATGTATGCTAACATGAACAAGTGGGCTACATCACAGCCACATGGAAGTGAAATAGACTCCCACTTAGGGGCATGGGACCTTGATTGAATGTGCCCCATATTGTGGTTTTGGGTGTTACCAAATGACACATGTACAAGTGCACATGT